AATTCACTTATAGAATTTTCTCATTCCATAATTACTAAACACTTTCTTAGGTAACTCACGTATAATCTTTCTTGAATAATTAGATATTCATATTCATGTAACTGAATAACTTTCCCCCTCTTCTTCAAAGGGGTATTTTCAATTAAAAGCAAACCCCGGTGCATGGATACTGAGATTACATAAAGGCAAATCTGAAGATATTTATGAAATAGTTGGGTGAGTTATGCAAGCCACTTTTAAAGTTTTATATATGAATAAGAATTTAGTGTTATAGAACTATTATCAAAATGGTAATTAAAATGCTTTTAAAAATACCTGGTAAATATGGATGTCTGGAAAGTGACAGAAACTGACTTTTCAGGACTGGTCCACCCCACAGATTTTGAACAACTGTCCATGTACAAAGGAACTCAGGTGAGATATTATAACACCTGACGGTAGTAGGGAAGAAATAAGAACAAATGCATTGAAGAGGAAAGGAAGGACAGTTTTACATACCCAGCCACCTTCCCCAACTGCTGGCAACCCAGCCTTGAGAGATCCTCTACTCGGGAGACTAGGAAAGTGAGCACTGAACTTTTCCTTGGGTCCCAAAATCAGGCCCACCCTATTAAAACCCAGCATCAGGAGCTCACTCATAGCAGAAGACTTCAAGTTGTACCCTAAAACTAAATCCTAGGCCTTAACAGTGTTACAGTTTTCCTCAGAATACTTGATCACAAGGCTTCCTCATTTTTTTATATTATTCAGTATTTTTTATGAGAAATGCGAGGCCAAACTGGTATTTTTTCTATAACAGTTAAATTTTTATATTCAGAATTCTAGGGAAAATAAGGCTTTCTGATACTTGGTTGAATTTTGAAGTTGATGACAACCAAGGTGCAATCGCCTCTCAAATCTTAATGGAAATCTATTAAAGTATTTGAATGCTCCCCTTTTTTCCCCCTAATTCCTTCTCAATGAAATCTGTTTTCTCTAAGTACTTAGCTTATTCTCTTCACTTAAGCTTCTGATTTTCCTCCTGCGTCTTGTGGTCTTTGGCCATGTAGCATTATTGATAAAGGTCTAATGATGTTATAAAGACCCAGACCACAAGGCTCAATTTGAATCTAGGATAGTCATTGTACCTTCCTTAGAGAATGGTTTTAAGGCATCTAGAAAATACTTAAAATCATGTCTAGAATAAAATAAGAGCTTACCCCTGCCCTCTGGGAGAACCAAGAAGGGCTTTCCTTTAGAATCTACGTGCTGTGGATTTGGAGGAGCCCACTAACTCCACCTTGGTCTCAGTGGACAGTGATTGATAGGGATAAAGTTGCCAATGCCTTTGAGCTGTGTTTGACTAGAAGTGTTTGAAAGTTTTAAGAAATGTGACATTTTTGTTCTATTCTTGGAGCCCTTTCTGTTTTCTTGTGAATAATTGTTGGACAGGCTCCTACCTTCTTCTTTGATTTAACTCCCTCCAATAGGCAACTTGAAGTAAGGAGTCAAAGGTATGTGTTAGTCACAACAGTGTTGGAAACACCGGGTGGTCATTTCAAAAGAATGTTCAAATACACGTCACAAATATGATAAAATGAAAAGACAGCTACTAATTTGACCTCAGTATTTTTCTTCTTTCACAAAATTTAGTTTTATTATTTAATAGTTCTCATGATAGAGTTCATCAGTGCATAATGAGAATAGTATCTGTAATTAAGTTCAACTATCATGACTGATTTAAGAATTTTGAAAGTTAAAGGATGAACCACGTAGTCAGTGGTATAAAATAAAAACAACTAAATGATACAAGTGGACATCATAGACACACTTGCAGTTTCATGAATTTAATAATGCCTTCCAATTTGGGGCATTTGAAAAGATTGACAATGTAGCATTCCCCCAATTTTAAAGACTTTTAAGTCTAGAAAATGTTTCATGTTTTATTTATCAGTGAAACGTGTCACATGAGTAAAAGATTTGAGTTTTGTCATAGCTTTGACGTATTACAGCAAAGATAAGCAATAATTTAAACTTTCTGAGTAATTAAGTAATACATTTTTTTATGTGTATGAGTATAATGCCCACATGTAGGTAGGCGCACCTGTGTTATGCAGTGTCTGCAGAGGTCAGAAGAGGGCGTGGGATTCCCTGGAACTGAAGTTACAGACAGTTGTTAGCTGCCATGTGGGTGCTGGGACTCGAACCTGGGTCCTCTATAAGAGCAGTCAGTGCTCTTTACAGCTGAGCTGTCTCTCCAGACCCAAATAGTACTAAATTTAATGAGTACTTTTAATTTTAGTTTATATTAAAGTGAGCTTTATTGGATAATTTTTAACTTATAGTATCTTTTGATTTACATAAATGCAAATATTACATAATGTAGTGGTTTGAATGAGAATGTCCCGCATAGTCTCCAAGTATTTGAACATTTCATCCTCAGTTGGGAACTGTTCTAGGAGGTTTTAGAAGGCATGGCCTTGTTGGAGGAAACACATCACTCAGGGCAGGCTTTGAGAGTTCTTAAGCCTCGTCAGAGTTCCAGTTGCTCTCTGCTTCCTATGCCTGCTTGAAGATGTGATTGCTAGGCTTTCTGCTCTGGCCACCTCTGCCACCATTGCCTCCCCCACCAAGGAGCTGTAAACACAAACTCTTCCTTCTATTAAGTTGCCTTGGTCATGGTGTTTTATCACAGTACCAAGAAAGTAACTAAATACACATATAAACAATATTGCAAAAAGAATTATTTATACCATCAAAATTATATGGCTATTCTTGTTTTCCTGCTTTAGGCATGAAGGAACGGACTCTGAGCCAGATGTAGGTGATGTCATTGTCATATTAAACACTTTCAAGAGCAAGATATTGAAAGTACAGGTATGTGAGGATGCAGCTTTTTATAGACTTTCTTCTCAACAAGTACCTATTTTCCTCCTTGTTTTGATTTTATAACAAACTTAAAATGTGTTATCTAAAGTGTGGCATTATAATTCTTGAAGTAGAAAGAAGAAAATTTAGTTCATGAAGAGAAAGTAGAGCTTGAAAACAAAAGAGAAGGAATGATATACTTTTAGCCAGATAATGCTAAACAAAGCCTATAGAAATGAGTTAGAAACATAGATTAAAAAGTTAGTCCTACACTGACTGTTCTTTCAGAAGACCCGAGTTCAAATGCCAGCACCCACACGGCAGCTAATAACTGTCTGTGACTCCAGTTCCAGAGGATCCAACAGTCTCCTCTGTCCTCTGTGAGTATTGCACTACACGGGTGTACTTACTTACATGCAGGCATAATACTCATACTCATAAAAAATAATAAATAAAATATTTTTTAAAAAAAGAAAAGTTAGTCCTGAAAAGAAAGTAACTTTTTTTTCCTTAAATAGAGAGCAGGAGTTGTTGTTGTTGTTGTTGTTGTTGTTGCTGTTGTTGTTATAGTTTGGTTTGGGGTTGTTTTGTTGTTTTGAGACAGGGCCTCGCTATGTAGCCTGGCTGGCCTGGAACTTGCTGTATAGATAGACTAGGCTGGCTTTGAGTTTACAGAGATCCATCTGCCTCCTGAGCGCCTTCTCTCTGTCTCTCTTCCCTTCCTTTCCCTCCTTCCCCATGCCAGTCTTTTTGTTTTCTATTAGGAAAGAAAGGGGTTTTATTATTTTATTATGTGTTTGTGGTGGGGGGAGTAGATATGCATATGCAAGAAAGTCCTGTGGAGACCAGAGGCATTGATCCCCCAGAGCTGGAGTTATAGACAGTTGTAGGCTGCCCTCTTTTTCTTCTCTTCTGTATTCTCCCGACTGGACAGCTACCAAGATTTTTAGCTTGCCTGCTCTAGGGATTTTCTTGTAATCTTTAATAAAATTATTCTTGAATTTCAAAGAAAGCGAGAAAGAAAGGGGAAGGAAAAGGGGAAGGGAGTAGGAGAGAAAAAGAGAGGGGAGAAGAGGAGAGGAGTTTTTAACAATGGCTGATGTATTTCTTCTTTGGACCAACCATCCTATTTAAAACTAGTGAAATTGTTGCCTAAAAGCACTGAAGATCTGACAGTAATAAAATGGCAAGAAAAAAATGAGGGGAAATGAAGTGCCTACTGAAATAATAAGCAAGCAAAGAAACTTCTCTTGACTCAAGCAAGCTGCTATTCACAAGGAACATTTGTATATCCTGGAACACTTTCTGTCAGTATAAAAATTAAAATACAAGACCTGGGGGCTGGAGAGATGGCCCAGTGGTTCAGAACACTGACTATTCTTGCAGAAGACCCAGGTTTGAATCCCAGCACCCACATGGCAGCTAACAACTGTCCATAACTCCAGTTCCAGGGGATCCGACAGCCTCTTCTGTCCTCCAATGGGCGTTGCACGACACGGGTGCGCTTACCTACATGCAGGCAATATACACATACACATAAAACAACAATAATAAATAAAATTTAAAAGAAAATGCAAGACCCACTTAAAGTGGATCATTTGTTAGAAGACTCCCTCTTCAATGTAAGGGTGAAATAGTAAATTATCCCATATAGTTTTTAGCCTAAATTTGTGTTTAAAAATAATCCAGGAAATTCTTAACCTTGAATTGATGCTAATATAGTTCCTGACAGATACAGTATACCAATATCTAGATGAATTATCCACACATCTCTGGAATAAGATTACAATAAACTGAAAATTGTATTTTCAAGTATATAGGTGAGCACATAGTAGAAGATAAATACACAAACCAGCAAAAACAGCGTTAAACAGACAAATAGATTCCATATATGAGAATTGTTGACAGTCTGAAATTGTTGACACAGAGTGTATTGACATATAGCCTGTTACTATTATGCTTAAATAAGTAACCATGCTTGAAAATAAAAACCTATAAAAAAAAGTATATATCAGATTGTTATGTGTGTGGTGCTGAGAGACTCTGAATAGAGCAATGCAATACCAAAATTAAGAATTCAGTGGCTGGAGACTGAAGAGATGACTGAAGTGATTCAGTTCCCACCACCCATGTCATTTGGTTCACAACCTTCTGGAACTCCAGTTCCAAGGCATCCAGTGCCCTCTGGCCTTTGTAGGCACCTGCACACATGTGGTGCACATAAAAACTGACACAGGCACACACACATAAACATAAATTGAAAATAAATAAGGGTCTGGAAAGATGGCTCAGTGGTTAAGAGTACTGGCTGCTCTTACAGGGCGCAGGTTCAGTTCCCACCACCCACATGGCCACTAACAACCATCCATAGCTCCAGTTCCAGGGGACCTGACACCTTTTTCTGACTTCCATGGGCATTGTACGACACAGGTGCACTTATATACATGCAGGCAATACACTCATACACATAAAGTAAAAAATAATAATAATGAATAAAATATTTTTAAAAGAAAATAAATCTTTTTAAAAACAAAATAATAATTCAGTGGCTAGCTTTTATATGACTGTGGAAAGAATTAGCAAAATGCAAAAGTTGTAAATATGTCTACCTAACAAATGTCTATGTTGTCTATATCTACAAATACTAAAATAAAGGGGTTTTGTTTTGTTCGTTTGTTCGTTTGTTTGTTTGTTTGTTTGGCTTTTTGAGACAGAGTTTCCCTGTATTCCCAGCTGGCCTGGAGCTCACTATGTAGACCAGGCTGGCCTTGATCTCACAGAGATCTACCAGTTTCTGCCTCTCAAGTGCTGGAATTAAAGGCATGCTCAAAACATCTGGCCTTAAAGTTTTAAAAAGTTAATTGGGAGGTGGAAGGAGAGAGATGTTGATATCCTTAGTATTCAAGAGAAACTGATACAATTATTAGAATAAAGAAATTTAAATACTGTTTCTTACAAAAGTACTCAATAGAAGAACTGAAGGTAATGATATTACTACCAGAACTTCCACAAGAAGAGGACTAATTTGAGTGAGCTACTCAATTGTCATTACAAAGAATGAATAAAGTCTTAAATTCTATGAACCAGAAATAATTCCCACATAATATCTTAAGTTGGTAGATTCTCAAACTAAGTAGAAGCACATTATCTACCAGAATAGCAGTAACCACCAAAGCTTTTAAAATGTTTTTGTTTCTCCTAAAGATATAGCTGAAGACATGATTTAATTTACAACATTGTGTTAATATATAGCCTGCATTTGTTAATTGTAACTACTTTCTTACATTTTTAAGTGACCTTGCCTATCATATTATATGTTCTAGTCAAACAATTTCCAAGTTTTGTCTTTACCATGTTACCTAGGTACAGAAAAAATCAGATAAAATTAAGGAAGATATCCTTGCTGATGAAAATGAAAATAAAGGAATGTGGGATTCCATTAAAAGGTAATTACCTTTTCATTTTAATTACCACTACTATTTTAATGACATAGCTAGATCAACAGCCTACTATGTAGAAAACCTGCAAGTAATCAAGGCCTAAGTAAATAATGCATTGACACTCTCTCTAGGGTGAATGTTAATAATGAGATAAGAACCTAGAAATGGTGGGAAGGGGCTTGTGCGGGATGGGACTGTGGAGGTGAGAGGGAGATAAAAGAAGGTAGAGGTGAGAATAATCAGGGTGTGTTATACACATCTATAAAATTGTCAAATAATAAATTTAATTAAAAGAAAAAGAACCAGTAGCTATAAGACAGCTGAAAATAAAGTGTTGTACAAATCAAAGGGTGGAAATATATATTTCCACCCTTTGATATATATATATAATATATATATACATATATATATAAAATCTCCAGCTAAAAGGAACCCCAAGAAAGACTGTGTGGCTAAGATTCATGCTAAAGGAAAGACGGTATTCAAATGTTGGAAATACTCATAAAATTTCACTCTTATATATATAATCCAGTAATCCAAGAGCAGACCTGACTGGAGGTATTGGAGTGGTGTGGTCTGCAAACTTTGTGCATCTCTTAATTCTACTTTCTTTACCTCCTTCTTTCCAAGTAAGTTTTTTAAGGTAATGATTTACTGTCCAATAGGAAGAAGTTTCCCCTTTCCAAATAATACCAACAAAAGTTCCATAACTAGCTCAGGCTTAAACTATCACCAGGTTTCCCAAACTGAACTGATCACTATGACTAATAGACCACAGGTGGGTCTTATGCTTTTCTGTAGAGCCTTTGGTAAGGCCTGTCCCATGTGAACTTCATAGAAGGAAATTGGAAAAGGTATGGTTCTTTAAAATACCAAGTTATCGTAACTAGAAGGGAAAAAGAAGACAGGCTGTATGCTGGATAGCTTTAGTGTCAACTTGACACACCTAGGTGGAGGGAGCCTCAATTGGGGAATTTCCTCTATTAGACTGGCCTGTTGCCATGTCTGAAGGGCATCTTCTTGATGAGTGATGTGGAGGGCCAGCCCACTGTGGGTGGTGCCACCCCTGGGCAGGTGAGCCTGTGTTACATAAGAAAGCAGGCTGAGCAGGGGCCAGGGGAGCAAGCCAGTAAGCAGCATTCCTCCATGGCCTGTACTCCAGCTCCTGCTTCCAGGTTCCTGCCCTGAGTTCCTACCTTGGGCTCCCTGATGAACTGCAACCTGGGAGATGTAAGCTGAATAAACCTTTTTTTTTCCCCAAGTTGGTATTGGTCAGAGTATTTTGTCACAGCAATAAAGAACAAACCAAAACAGTCTGGAAAATCAAAGCTGTTTGCTGTAGAACCATTCTGTAGAGAACTTTGAAAGTCTACTTTAGAGATTGGAACTTATTCTACTTTCATTTTTGTTGCTGTAACAACACAGTGATGAAAAGCAAGTTAGTGGGAAGACAGGGTTTATTAGGCTTACACTTCCAAATCACAGTCCATTATTGAGGGAAGTCAAGGCAGTAATTCATGCTGCTTGCTGGCATGCCCAGGCTTGTGCTTACCTAGGTTTTTTATAGGGTCCATGACCACCTTCCCAGGGAATGGTGCTGCCCACAGTGGGTTGAGCCCTCCTACATCAATTAACAATCAAGAAAATCCCTCACATGCCCACAGGCCATTCTGATCTGAGAAATCCCTCAATTGACACTCCTATCTATGATAACTCTAGGCTTGTCAAATTGACAAAGCTATCTAGGACAGAACTTAATTTGAATTTGTGATGTTAAACTATTCGTCAGCTTGATGAAAGATAAGAAATAGAAACTTTAAGTCAAAAAGATTCAACAGGATAAATTTAGTTGTTACAGTCAAAAGCACTACCATCATTTTGGATTTGGCCCAGTTTAGGCATCTTTTTCTAAAGTATGCCCCTTGTTTGTTAAAAAAAAGTTATAGTACTAGCCCATGAAGTAACTGTTTTTCTTCTCAAAGGATTATAATAAAAGATTTTTAAAATACTGTCATCATAATAACTTGTACTTGGCAAAATATTTTCCAAAAAGATTATGCTTTTTTCAAATTTTAGTCATTCTAAATCATATAATTATATAAAATTTTAGATTTTTAGGGGCATGGTTGAGCACTGGCTGTTCTTGCAGAAGGCCTGGGTTTGAATCCCAGAACCTACATGACAGCTAACAGCAGTCCATAACTCCAGTTCCAGGGGATCCAAAGCTCTCTTCAGTCCTCCCTGGGCATTACATGACATGGGTACACTTACATGCAGACAATACACTCATACGCATAAAATAAAAACAAATTTAACACACAGCAGCTAACAACTGTCCGTAACTCCAGTTTCAGAGGATTCGGCGCCCTCTTCTGACCTCTGTGGGCATTGCATGATGGATGCACTTACATGCAGGCAATACACACATACGTATAAAATAAAAGTAATAAATAATTTTTTTTTAATTTAAAAAATTTAATTTAGATTTTTTTTTGGTCTTTTTGAGACAGGGTCTCCCTGAAGCCCCAGCTGTCCTGGAACTTACTATGTAGACCACGCTGGCCTTGAACTCACAGAGATCTGCCTGCCTCTGCCTCCCGAGTACTGGGATTAAAGGCGTGTGCCACCACGCCCGGCTTAATTTAGATTTTTTTTTGGTCTTTTTGAGACAGGGTCTCCCTGAAGCCCCAGCTGTCCTGGAACTTACTATGTAGACCACGCTGGCCTTGAACTCACAGAGATCTGCCTGCCTCTGCCTCCCGAGTACTGGGATTAAAGGCGTGTGCCACCACGCCCGGCTTAATTTAGATTTTTAACTAAGTAATAAATTTTAGTCAGAATAAATTTTGGATATTACCTCAAATATCTTTAGTTCTTTTGATATTTTAGGGGTTTTTTTCTGTTTACCTGTTTGTTTGTTTGTTTGTTTGTTGAGACAGGATCTCAAACGCTCTCATTCATTATGTAGCTATGGCTGGCCTTTAACTCATGGAAATCTTCCTGCCGTTCAAGTAGTCATTTTGTTTTTAAGATTTATTTTTACAAAAAAAAAAAAAGATTTATTTTTACTTATGTGTTGTGTGCATGCCACATGCGTGGAGGTGCCCACAAAGGCCAGAAGAGGAAGTCAGATCCCCTGGAGATAGAGTTACAAGCAGTTACAAGCCACCGACATGGGTGCTGGGAACTGAATTTCTACAGAGAAGCAGGAAACACTCCTAACTATTGAGCCACCTCTACAGCCCCATGAAGTAGTCATTTTTGTATATGAGAGTATATGTATACAAGAAATGAGATAGTGTTATCTAGGTCCAAAAAAGTACTAAAAATGATCTGTTCCTGTACTACCAAGATGGAAAACAGTGAGAAACTGCTCTCTGGCTGTCTTTGTTCCTAATGAAGGCCACTCAGAGTATGAAGCTCTCTGTAGCCTAGGACTAGAGAATATACCAGCCAGTTGATATGTATTGCCTATGTGCAGGTACACATGCATGAATGTGGGGACACCAGAGATTGATATCAAGTGTCTTCCTCTATTGTTTTCCACCTTATTTTTGAGACAGGATTTCACTCACTGACAAGAGTAGCTAGGCAGCAAATCCTAGGATCTTCCTTTCTCTGCCTCTCTAGCACTGGTATTACAGATGCGCACCTCTACACCTAACTTTTTATGAGGGTAATTTGGAGCCAAATTTGGTTCTTCATATTTGCATATGCAATTTGTCCATTGAGCCATTTTCCCTACCCTTGTAGACATTTAAAAAACATCTGCAATATTTACATTCCTACTCTATTCTCATAAATTATTACTGTCCCATAATTAGAACTTCTATTTAATATGTTGTTTCTTCCCTCATTGTTGGCCTATTTAATTTTCAGTACACTAGATATGAATATGGCAGGTTATAATTCATTCTCAGTTCTCAAGAGAACTCTTACAATTCACAAAAGTTCAAAGTTACTACTGCATTAAACTGAATAAAGTTTAATTACTTTCCATGTTATAAAGAAAAACTCAAACTTTAAAATATATCATCACATTTAAGTTATCAGTATAAATGTTTGTATAAGAATTTTTATTTTAAAGGAATTCTTTTAATCAAATTTCACGTATTATTTGGGCATATATAGTTTGTTGATGAATATTAAGAAATCATCCATTCTATGGTTTTTATTACAAGGTTCACAGAAAGGTTACATAAAGATGACAGAAAGGAAAATGGTGTTCTAAACATTTTTTCAGTTGCTTCTGGCCATTTATATGAACGTTTTCTGCGGTAAGTATGTATTTTCCAATATTTTGAAAAAGTAATACTTTTATACAACTCACAATTCAAAAAGAATAAAAGAAAAAATATGCACCAAAAAGGTAGAAATCTCACTCTTCTTCTTTCCTGATCCTTAGTTTACTTAGCTCCCTTTCACATAGGAACCAATAGTATTATTTGTTTACCCTGCCAAAGATCCGTGGACAAGCAAATATTTCTTCTTTTGTTGTAAATTCTTGTTACCTAAATATTAACAAAATATATCATACTATGCACCTTGCTTTTTTTAAAACAGGTTAATTCTTTTTATTTTATTTATTATTTTTTTATTTTCATTTACATATATGAGTATATTGCCTACATGCACGTAAGTGCATCTGTGTTGTGCGATGCCCGTGTAGGTCAGAAGATGGAGTCAGATCCCTTGGAACTAGAGCTACAGATGACTGTTAGCCACCATGTGGGTGCTGGGATTTGAACCCAGGTCCTCTGTGAGAGCCATCAGTGCCCTTAACCACTGAGCTATCACTCCAGCCCAGTATATTTTTTTAAGTACAGTGAAATTTCATGAGTTTGGTTTGATTTCTTTAAGGTTAGAAAGTAGATTGTATATAACAAGATGATAGGTAAGAAAAAAATTCATAAATTTTCCTTTCCCAATGAAGGAATGTCTTGCTTTATAAAAAGAAGGAAGTCAATGGGGAAGAAAATCATATTTACAAAATACAAATGTTTTTTAACATTTTATATAGAAAAATAACAAAGAATGCCTGTGAAATGTCTGACTGATAGTACTGATGCTTGTAAAATTGTACTTTCAGTTTATTTCTATTTCCTCTATTGAGATGTCTAAAATAGCAAAACAAGCGATCATACAGTGAATTTATCAGAGTGTGCAGATCACTCAGCTTCTAGATTTTGCAGTTTATTTCTATATTCTCTACTGAGATGTCTAAGATAGCAAAACAAGCAGTCATATAGTGAATTTATCAGAGTGCACAGATCACTCAGCTTCTAGATTTTGCAGGCTTAATGTCACACAGTAGCAGAGCCGGAATTAGACTCTAATTCAGTAATAAGACTATTATTTCAGACTAGCTTCTTTGTCAGATAAAACAAAGACCCAGATACAGATATTTCCAGGTTTTTACATTACATACTTAAACAACCATAATATTTGAAGATACTGCAGTTTGAGTCTACATAATTTATAAAGGTAAACTTCGTTTGTACTTTTAAATATTTAAAAGTCTTTTTAAAAGGTGTTAACTTGTATTTGATTTAATATGTTCTTTTATATAGAATTATGATGCTTTCTGTTTTACGTAATACTAAAACACCAGTGAAGTTCTGGTTTCTGAAAAATTATCTCTCACCAACATTTAAAGTAAGTACACTGCTCATTTCAATAGTACAACTAATGTTTGAATTTGAATTGGTAACTTTTTGTTATCATTATAAGTTCTTGAAACATTTCTCTCTTCAAAGTGAGCCTTTTGAAATATATATTTACTCAAATTATTATTTTTAA